ATCTAATATTTCGAATCAACTACAATAAGCTTAATGTCCCCTTCATACATGTGTGAAGATATTTTTGAAATTCAAATTCAAAAATCGAATTTTAATGGATTCAATAGTTAAATTAAATTAAAATAGACCTTACGCATGTCAACAAGGTACTTGTGTGAATAAAATAAACATGTGACAAAAATGTAGTTTAAGTTATAACATAATATAATAAGTTAAATAACAATATATAACATAACAAAATAATATGTCATCCACATCCCCCACCTTGGGATTAGCGCCCAACTGGGCGTTGATCATATGGTGGGGCTAGGGGTGCCACACGGCCACCCTTTGGCCACTCAGGTGTGCCACGTGGCAGTCCTCAAATGGAATTAGGTCTAAACAAATATTAAAAGTACAGTTTTGTCAATAAACAAATTTTAAAGAATTCACAATAAATATTTAAAATATTTATGAACATTTATTCACCATTTTTCATATTCATTAAATTGGACAAAGGGTAAGTGAGTCTCATGGCCTCGGATTACTCCAATGGGCTTGCCCTAAATGATGCTCCACCGGTATCTCAAGCTGACCCAATAGACCTATGCTCCACAGTCTATGGCAGAGACACATAATTGGTTACATCAAAGTCACTGAGCCAGAGCTTCCCATCATTCGGCTCTCAATGGATTACAGGTACACCCCTGTGGGACATATTCCAACACAAGTATAGGGGTCCTCTCAAAGAACATTTCAATGTTTAAAAAAGCACTAGGAAACCCCCAGGCGACCATGGGGGTCTAGGCTGCCTAGCACCTAAGTAGGCGGTCAGAACCTGGGCGGCCCAGTTGACAAAAAAAAAGAAAAACTTAAGACCATAATCCCAGTATTTTGATAATCTATAAGACCATAATCCATATTTTTTATACAATGCCAAAACAGTAAAACCATACAAGCATACACCGATAGACTGATACACTGTAGACTGTACACATAAAAGTTAGACAGTAGAACTAAAAACTAGAAAGTAGAAACCAAAAATAAGAAAACAAAATACACAGAAATTCAAAAAATATACAAACACAATAGTCAACACTCAACACAACAGTCAACACTTAACACCAAGAGTCTTCATTCATCATCATAATCATCACCAGAAGGAATAGGGTCAGCTTCATCATATGTATCAGAATTGAGGCTGTCTTCAATATAACGCTTGTCCTCTTATGTTTCTTCTGAATCTGCCTCTTCCATCTCTTCTTCTACCTCCCTCTTACTAGTATGTACAGATGCCTTAGGAGTCTTGGCTGCTCTACCTTTTTCTATCTTTTTGTGCTTCCCAGAACTCAAATATTGTATAATTTTCTCTCTGATAGCCTCATAAACATTTTTATACGGGGCAACATCTCCCTTAATACCGGCAAGGTGCTTTTTAAACCGGTAAATGCCCCCATTAGTATCCTTTCTATAATAATTACATTTAATACGATTTTTGTCATTCGGATTTAGGTTATAGCCATACTTCCAACCCGAATCACCACTTCTAAAAGAACCTGAAGAAGAGTTTTTTGTAGAACAAGACTTATTTTCATCATTTTCTGGTTCTTTTAAATTTAGAAGTTGTCTAATCTCATCCCGATTAGCTATAGGAACCTTTTTACAAGATGCAACATTCCCTTTAATACCAACAATGTGCTTCTTGAATCGGTTAATACCCCCATTAGTATCTTTTTCACAAAAATTACACCTTATACAATTTTTATCGTTTGGTTTTGGGTTATAACCATACTTCCAACCTGGATTACTTCTTCTAGAAGTAAGAGAAATAGATTTATTCAAATGACAAGAATTTTGTTCCTGTTTTTGTTTTACAAAACTCGTAAATTACTTAATCTCCTCTCTGATAGCTTCAGGAACATTTTTACAAGGGGCAACATCCCCTTTAATACCAGCAATATGCTTCTTAAACCAATTTATTCTCCCTTTCGTATCTTTTCACAAAAATTACATCAAATTCAATTTTTGTCATTTGGATTTAGGTTATACAATATTTTCAACCCGGATCTCTACTTCGACTAGATCCTGAAGAAGACATCTCAAAATAAAACAAGCAATCTAAAAAATAAATTTTTGCACTTACTTTCATTGTTTGAACTCCAAACTCCCTCTAATGGGATTATAAATCTCCAAAACTAAATCAAATCTACTTGGGTGATGTTTGGATCCGTTTTCCATAACTTTGAGAAGCACTTCGATCCAATGAAAGTCACAAAATTTAGTATTCTTGAGGTTTCTTTCTCTTTAAAATGGGTTCTTATGGGTTTAGGTCTGAAGTGAACCTAAAACTCATCCTTCAAACCCTTTATATTTCAAAAAGCATCAATACAACTTAAAAATAAATAAAAATCCTGGGCAGGGCATAGGCTCTGGGTGGCCACCCAAGGCTGGGCGCCCGCCTAAGCGGCTTTCAAACCCCTTTGGCCGCCTAGGCGCTAGGCAGTCTGCTTTTTGAATCACTGACACATATGCACTGACTTTTTCAAACTCGGATAATGGATTTGGAATTGTGGCTTTCCATTCGAACATTAGTGCACATGTCATGGAATGGTCTCATGTCAGGATATAGATTTATGTCCCATAGGTCATGACCATCCCATATAAGGCCGTTACTCATAAAAAATAGTTGGGATCTATTATATTCGATTGGATACTCCAAGCCATGGTTAATCACAACAATCATGAGGCTAATATAAACAAGATCCTGACTAGGAGGTGACCCTCACACCTCTTTGAGAAATTGCTTTATCGAACGTAAAACTCTCATAGCCTGAAGTACTCGGGGTATAAGAATCTGGGCCCCACTTCGCAAAGCACCCAGATTCTATGTCTCAATCACTCCCACTAAATGAGAGACTATTGGTATTCAGGCCTTGAAAGGTCATATATCCAACAAGGCACATATGGAGCTTCCTCCTTCATTTACTCAAAGGTGAGAGGGTGATACCTAAAACTTTCCAGCAGCTACTTCAGGCTCATAGGTTGCCACCCGACCCCATGCAAATCTTTATGCTTTGGAGGGCCTCTATTTTTGCTCTTATGCGAAATGTGGCTCTAACGTAATAGGGGAATTTCTTAAGGCGAGGAATGTTCATCAGAGACAATAACCAAGAATATCAAAATGGTGATTCAATGGGCAAGACAAAGGAAGGAATTCAAAAGGCTACGCTACTGCTGGCTATCTACTGGGATGCTATCACAAGGTCCAACATGATGCGACCTTGGAGGTCCTTGCATTGAATCCCCTTGTAGCTCAGCTACGTCATGTTAAGTTTTATGGATGTTCCTTTCAAGAGGCTGGTAAAGCAGGGATGAGGGGTGTCTTTAGGGCCAGCAAGGGTATAATCGGCTCTAATTCTCGGGACCTGTCGGCGTTGTGACCTTGACTATGTTTAAAGCCCTTATCTTGATTCATGAACTCAAACTGTTTGATCATAGTAGCCTAGTAGTTGACAGAGATCCAAAAAACATTATATTATAAACCTGCACAAATTGATCCCTAACTTGCCCATGGCGCCATGATCGTATATTTCAGCTTTGTGTGCCCAGACACATCTGTTCACCACATTTGGTGTGGGGCAAACAATATTGCAACATAAATCTGTATTCTGTAACTTGTGTATTTATTATCTATGAAAATAAACATAAGTTCACGAAACGCAAAATCTAAGATAATGTATCCATATGGATTCCTATTTTTCTGGTTTGTCACAACTTTAACTATTGTTTTGTTATTTTTTTCTGAATTGCATGTTTGCAGGTCCTACTGATTTGACACTAGTTGGGCCAGTTCCAGACTAGGCCCTCCCAGGTTCAGTTAGAGATCTTTTCCTGGTAATAGTACATTTTGATAACAAGAGCACATGGAAAAGTGGGTAATGAATCATGTCAGGACAATGCACATAATCCTAACTAATAAATGTTAACTCACTGAGCCTCAGTTTCCAAGAATCAGGTAAATACAACTGACTAATTAAAGATCTAATACACCAAAGCTTAATGATTCTCCCAGAAGTACCCCTATGATCCGACTATGCTTTGACTTCAATAGTGAACATTATAGAACTGAAATAATAAACATAGTACTTTATATGCTGGAATAAAGACTTGCAAATTCAAGGTTATAAAAGCATGATTTACATTGGGCAACAATAAACATGTGTATAGAAGCCTCTAATTGTGTGCTGCAATTACTTAACAGTATGCACGTAGTGTGAGTTGAGCAAAAGCATCCAGCCACTAGGAAGAAAATGTTTTACCCTAGACAAGCAGATTATCGAATGACTTAGACCTAACCTAGACAAGACATTGACAGTTTATACTAGATGATGCTTTGGTTTAAAGTAATGGGGGCTTATAAAGAAGCGTTCGAGGGGACATCTAACAGGATCTAATCATATGCCTTTCGTGTAGTCATAAATCTACTTGATTCGGATTCTAGATCCTCACTCAACTTATCTGTCCCCCATTATACCCATCTTGGGACCAAAAAATTTTACGATTATAAATAGAATGCCAAACCATGAAAACCTAAATTGGTCAAGGTATAGAGGTGTGATACATCTCATACAGAAATGTTATATAGAGCAACTAAACATCAAAATTATTCTAGGTAACCATTACGCCACTCATGCAAGGATTTGAAGCCTGCTGAGGGAAATAGGTCCATAAACACCAACTTGTGGGGTTTTTCATAGTTGTACTCCTATGGAAGTGTTCCACATTATAAGTTTAAAACACACAATATTCACTAAAAAACAAATTAAAATACACAATGATCGTATAAACACTGTCCTCCACGAGTTTCAAATGTTGAGAGACAGGCCAATTCAATAGTAAAACCTTTGATTTTATTGGGATCTTAATATGCAGTACACCGACGTTATTCAGAAAAAAGTCAGTGCTCAAATATATTATGAAAGAGGCCGTTCGAGTGTTTAAGACACTAACATGTAATGTACCTTATAGATCCAAGCATTTGTAGACAAGTCAACTACCCCTTTGTTGAAGCCCTCTAGCTTGACACTTGTGACTCCCGCCCCTACCCACTCATAAAATGGCCCTGCATTCTAGAAAGTGAATGCTCACATAAACCATGGCAATATAAAAACCACTGCATTAAACAATTATGAAATTACTTTGCATAATCCTAGTGAATAGTACGTTCAGTAGGACGCATTTTTGTTGTGATATCTACATTTAGGAGCAATGAACATGCCCTAAGTACCAATGCATAACCATCATTATTACGACAAGACAAGTGGTCGGACTTAAACTTTATGACTGTTATTTCTATGTATATTCTTCATGCAAATATAAAACAAGCATTGTACAAGAAATTACGAACTTGATTTAATTTTCTCTAGTGAAAAGATGCATCAATCAAGAAGCGATACAAACAAGTGACAACATCATAGATCATGTGGCAGATGAGGAGAATAAAGGTAGTTGTCCTTAGGAAACAATGTGCGGAGTGCTGGTGTACAAAGAGAAGCTATATTCAACATAAATTAGAGCCAAACCAAGATCAGATACCATGTTTGACCATTTACTGAGGTTCAAGAGATGACAGAGAAGCTCGGAGGCATCCATACATGCCAAAGAGAGACGAAGAGCACCTAGTTACTCAGTATTTCTGTATCCCTTGAAAGGGCTTTGTAAAAGCCACAATGGGTACTGCTGCATAAATATACAAATTGCAATACACTATATAACAAATGTAAAATAACATGTGTAAGCAGGTGGACCACGTACAATTTATACTGTCCGTGGTACCTAGGCAAATTATGTCTACCATCCTATTTTGAATTCTTAGCTAGATATATTCACCAAGTTACTTACAGCTTCTCCATGAAGTTGATACATAGACGAGAAACATAGCTTGAAAATGGATAGTTAACAGAAAAGTTCATTTTCAGTGCATGGTAAGGAAGCATGTTCTATATGTGCAATTGTCATTTCGTTCATTATTGAGGATGCTTATATAATTTGTCTATAGCCTTGAAATTATGCAAGCTAATTCATTTAATGAAGCATTGCTTTTCATGGTATTTGCAAGTAAGAAACAAACATTAATTTCTATCCCAGGCTTTCATTAAGGAAATAATCGACAGTCAGTGTTACATGGACACTCACACAGGTGTGGGTGTTGGAAAAATCATAGGTATTTTAACATAGAGGGCCCAAAAGTCCTGATCAGCACATCATAATATGAAAAATCTTCCACATTCATCTATTCTTGGAACATTTCTAGGGTCTCAGTCTGGCATATCTGGAGAAGCATCAGCAATGTTTCTTGAAACTTTTGAAGAAATATGCCCAGCACCCTTAACAAAGATTAGCAACATCTTTGCACTACCATCAAAGTGCTAAGCTTCCAAGGACATGTTGCTGGCATCAAAGTGTTGTTGGCAGACACCTGATGTTGGAAGTGAGTAGTGCATGCTATGAGGAGATTTTAACACTTCAGAACACGAACTGAACATTTTTGACACATATGGACACATCAATACATGACACCAATTCAAAAGTCTCACCGGCAACACTGCCAATAATCGAATTCTTTCTTGAAATGTCTCCCTTTCATGGACATCCTAGTAATTAGATGGTGCAATATATATAGGTTCCATTCAGGCTCATTTGATATAACCAAGAAACCAGGTAGGGGATATCTTTCTGAAAGTACATGGGAAAGAGAACAATCACAGCCTACGTGCATGTTTGTAATTCAGAATAATTAACTTGCAAACTGCAGTTGAGTTTTAAGATAACGGATTTGAAGTAATAATTTATTTTTTGATAGGTAAAAATACAGGTAATTAAGGATTTAAGTACTATTTTTCTTTTTTTTAATGTATATCATATTGCTTAACTTCCCCTGTATATTAAGATCTATGGCTTTTCTCTTGTATTCACAAGTACCTAAGTTAGTGCTACATAAATATACATATTAAAAAAGATGGTCCTTTTTCACTTTCATGGGTTTCACTAACAAAAAATGGGGTAGCATTGAATACATACAATTTCCTACCATCTTCAAGAATCAGTTAAATATTGGTTTACGTATGTGTTTCTTTTATTGGTTTAAGTTTGTTACATAACGTGATTCATAATTGCGGTTATAGTCATAGCATCTCGAACATATGAGGTTTCAGTCATAGCACCAATCAGAAACAAGCAACATCAAATTAGAAAACTGTATCAAATAAAAGCCAAATAAAAATCTGAAAATTAAAATAGATATTCTTTAAAGTTGTTTTGAAGTAAGAATCCAATTAAAGGGAATATTTCAGAGCAACATATTCAATTGGTAAACTGTTTGGAGGCAATGCAACTGGAATATGACATGTGTATATGAAAATGTGTGTGCACATCCACATGTCTTCAGCTAAGTACAACGTTCAATGAAGGGAGCATAATTTCTGATATAAAGGTTCTGTCCCCTCTTTTTTCTTAATGTTGATAGACTGGATACTAAGTTTCAGAAATAAACAAATTCATTCCATGTCAATGGTACAAGAAGCTAGTTCCTACTACTCATGACTTCGGACATAAGAAAAGCATGTAAGTATCATTCATAAGTTTGTGCTGCATACACGTTATTTGCTCCATACAGAATTGAAAAAACTTTACTTGGTGATAGAGATTAAAATAAAAGCTCGACCAAACGTACATTGTTTCCAGGAAGAAGAGTAGGCTTGAGGAAAATAATACAAGAGAAGACAAAGTCTGTGTACTATAAACAGAAAATAAGTATCCAGCAAGAGTATGGTAAAAGAAGAAAAAAAATCTCAAAGTTAATTATCAACAGCATAGTTGGAATTTTATCAGATAACTATTGCTACTACATGAAGGATCAATAGTAATGAGCTCTAATTTGAATATGAGGCCAAATCCACAGTAAAGAAATGTATGAGTGGCATCATTTGTGACCGAAAAGATAAACTTACTTGCAAACCAACAGTCATGCTCAAAAGACTTATGTCATTCTTCCCAGCCCTAAGAAGTATTGGCTTTTGAAATTTGAAGGTTGAATCACTCCCATTCCCGGATGCACTAGCTGAAGAAATAATAGAAAGATGCACATGTCAGTTGACTAGTATTTATAGAGATTCATTCATGAAAAATTATTAAAAGCATAAATACATGGGGTTTCACTAGAAGAGAAAGAGGACCAAGGATGATAAATTCATCTAAATGGTAGAAAAACAAAAACAGATGTGGCACATGTATGTTAATGTAGATAATTCTCGATCAAAGTGCATTGATGTGAGAAACTTTGTCTATTCACAAAATAGATACATAAATGCTTATTGTGTAGACATGGCACTAGATTCTTTTGTACAATAGAAATGTAGGTAACAACTGATGTATGAACTCTCAGTGGGAGCTTCCCCAAGTCTTCAACACAAGTCAAAGATCAGAGATACAACTCATTTCTGTGTCACAACTCAGAGTTCATACATCAAGGAACTTAAAGAATTTTGTATTTTAAATGTAATGGTATGAAACAGTTCACAGTCAAATAAACAAAGACCGTTCTAGAGCAATCCAGAACTCAGAAAACCTAGGATCTCCCTATGTGTAATTAATACACAAGCCAAGGGCAGTCACAAGTGTAACATGTTCGATCCCAGTTTATATTCATAAAAAGGTAACTTCTGTGGCATCCATTGTTTACTTTCATGCAGGAAGCTGATGTTTTAAAATTAGAAAATAAATATGGTGCTGGATTTTTATCCAAAGTCATATCCAGATCCTGGTTCATCCAATCATCATGCAATCCATACCATATGCACTCTGGTGTTTGCTGGTGACATCTACTTTCTCAAAAAGGAAATCACTGCAAAAGTAAAACTAGATAGATCAAATGAATGCTCTCAAAATTCAGGATAATTAGCAACCTGCCTCCCCCTTCTCCTTAAACGGTGAACTGAAATGGCTAGTTCTAATGCAAAAAAAGTTCCAGTTACAAAAACAACATAGTTTTTCTGGTTAAGTAAAGGGTAGTAAAAATTCAGATAATATCAACAAACAAAAAAATGCAGAATTAAACCATAAAGGAACACAAGGGATCGGACTCTAGTCTTATATGGGATGAAACATTCTAGTGCACTCCGATAGCAAATTGGATAAGTTTTATATATAGTCACTTAAATTTTAGGCTAGGTATTTTGGTTTCCAAATTAACTATTTTTTTGGGTAATGATTACTTTATTAAAAATAAATAAATGAAATTACAAGTTTAGCATGGTGGTTTTCATTTAATGATAAATTTTTATTTAATGTATTATTGAAAGCTAATTAATTTCAATTAGAAAGACATATAACTTGAAAATAAAATTTTACTTTGAAAGAAAAAATAGAACACACCTTGCAATTCATGGTTTACAAATGCATGCATTGCATGACCCTTCGACTCAACGATAAGTATCGGTTGGCTTCCACTCTTTAAGAAATCTTCATTGTCATCAACATACACACTACCATTCATGCAAAAGAAAAGTCACTACAATCAAAGGTTTGTGTTATGCCTTCCTTGACATGATACTGGATATTGCAATTATTGGATTTATATTAAATACCTGCAAGTTTTAGATAATTGCACCGTCAGAGAAAATTGAAGCATATGCTATAAACTTCTAAGAACTAGCTAATGGCACAGGAATTGCATGAAGATTTAAAATATCCAATAATAGCAAAATCTCCTCTCCAAATATGTATTTAAATCCCCTAATAAGAGTGGGAGAAGATTATTAACAAATTGTACAGAAAAAATACCAATGTATATACATACTACCTCTCTCTTTCTCTCTCATTATCTCAATACGCCCAATTATTTTCACAATTTAAAATTTTATTTTTTAATCTTCTAGCAATGATTTATTTTGTTAGGAACCTTTCAAAAGAGAGTGGACATACCTTACCTTTATTTGGGAAAATTTTCCATACTTTGTACAAATATGGAACAGTATATTCAGACCCAAAATCCACCACCCATGTCTATCCAAAGACAGCGGATAATGAGCAGTTGTGAACTTTTATAATCCCCAATTTAGCAGGAACAATTTCACAACCTTACAACCCATAATAAGTATGGATGATTGTTGGGTGGGAGTCTGCAATACTATTCTTGTACGTATAGCATCCACTCCCTTTAATGTTTCTATTTTTAAAAGAAAATACATAGATAAGTATGTTGGATTTGGAGAACATTATTTTTGAAAAAGGAGAACATGAACTAGGGGATTTCGAAATTCATTACAAGTATTGTAGCAATAATTTTTTTACAAATTTTTTTTTTTAATTCGGTTTGAGATTTTTTTTTTAGGGCATAATATTCCAATTGTGTTTTTCCCAAGATTGCCCCAAATTTGGGGATTTAGTTAGCGATTATTCAATGTATTATATGTAGGCGGATATGAAACCTAAATCTAAATGGAAAATCCGTCAGATGCATTTGTACATTCTCTTACCCTAAGCACTTCCAAAATAGGTACCCTACCCTAAACTATCTCCATCCGTAGGATCCTCTTCCGATTGAATGACACACGTCCAAGCCTTAATTATGGCTTGATATATGTAAAAGAGAGTGCAAAATGAATGCAAGCGAGACCACACTATACACTTACTCCCGGGCAAAATGCCTACATAGGAGGATATTCTCAATCTGAAAATTGAGATCCACTTTAGTATCACCAAATGAATATTTTGAAAAAGAAAGATTCTACTGTGAGTTCTTAAACACTTAGATTTGACTGTCCAAAATTTGGGTGGTCTCTATTTAATATTAAGATGTCACCATTTTTGACACATATAGAGCGCGAACCGATTATTTTAGTTATGTTTGACGGTGGTCACTAAGTTGAGTAGGTTACATCCCTAAACTTTGGGGCCCTAAAAATACCCCCACATGCAAGGGAATGAATGTCCAATATGCTCTAACGGAATCATAATCTTTTGGCTATGTAGACTAGAACATTACACCTCTATTTTTCTTTTTATTTTTCGATTTTGAATTTGATTTGAGATTTTTTAGGGTATAACATTTCATTTTTGGGTTATCCCAAGATTCTTAATTAGAGATTTTTTCCTTTAGCTTAGATACATAAATATAATATGATCCGCAATATTGGAATATCCCCATAGCAGAATGGCGGACCAGGATTATTTGTAGCCAACCCCAATTAGTTTTAAAAACGCTCTGACGATGATGATGAATATTGGAATATCCCAACAAATTACATTAGCTTCCCCTACCCTAAACTCTTTTTGAAAAGGGACCCTCTCTCTATATATTGGGTCCTTCTCTAGTTAAGGAATATCTACCCTATAACTGAGGCTTAATATATACTAAATAGCTAGGATGAAGTTGACAACTTGATAACTAGAACTAGAACCATTAGTAATGAACATAATTGGAACTCCAATGCGAGCATATGTACCACTCAAGGAATGACCATCCTGGTGTGAAGGCTGTGAATAATAGTGAGTAGTATATGGTTTTAAACGTTGGCAGAATTCGGAGACCAAAAATCCTCTAAAGTTTTCTTCAAAAATAATTTGTGGTGGCCTTTTCAATATTCACTAGGCTAACTTGAACATTGGCAGACTAGTGAAAAGAATAGTACTTCAATTGAATTATAAAATTAATGGGAGCATAACCCCAAACAACAAAAAGTCAAAGTTCAACTAATGAAAAGTATGAACTGCTTAACTAAATGTGTTTGACAATTCCAGGAATGTAAAACTCCTAAGGGATGGCCTGTAAGATAAGTGTATACAGAAGAAACAACTACGCACAAGCATAACAAAAAGTCAAGTTCAACTAATGAAAAGTATGAACTGCTTAACTAAATGTGTTTGACAATTCCAGGAATGTAAAACTCCTAAGGGATGGCTTGATAAGTGTATACAGAAGAAACAACTATGCACAAGCATTTTGTTTAACAAAACTGCCACAGAACTAGAGCAATCATAATAGATTTGAAGGAAGAGCATCTTAAAAAATTAAATCCAGATAGTTATTAATCTCTGGATTTTGTAATAGGGAATAGGAAAAGGCTAAGATGCCCAGATACAGGTCCAGACACAGAAATAGATAGGGAAACAAGGATACGAGTTGCCATATTTTGAAATTCAGGATAGAGATATGAACACAAGTATCTCTATTTAACAGATCAATAAACATATATAATAGCTTGTATAATACATAAATATGTACACCAATTAATGCATAGTATTATATTTATTCATAGTACAATTTTTTATAGCTATTTCATATCCTATAGTATAATAATGAAAAACAGAAAGACAAGAGAGAGCTCTCCATAAGAAGTAGAATATAAGACAAAAACTGAAAAATAGTTAGTCCAAGAGCAAGATTTTTTTTTTTAATCAAGAACAGCACGTAATAGCTTTAATAACAGCTGGCAGACAGAAGCAAATAAAATTACATAGCTAATGAATAAGACAAGGAACTTCAATAAGTCTCCACGTTTTGCATGCTCATGAAACACAAAATGTAAGGCACCATCCCATTTAGACTAATAATCATGAATACAACAAAATACAGTATGGACATACCTAACATAACTTTATAGATGTCAGGCAAGTTTTCTCCTTTTCACTTTGGATTTTAGGTTAGCACATAATCAAACAATGTAAACAACAATAATTTGCAGTAGGATACAAAAATCAGTTCTAAGTTCAATTTGTAGCAAACATAGTGATTTTGGATTGGGCATTGTAATGGCAAGTTGCCACCCACAACTTGTTAAAGATTCATAATGATTGTATCATTTTCTAATTTAGTAAGAAGTCAAAGAATATGTATGCATAGAATGAAACTGGACCTTGTATATTTACATATCATCAGTCCAAACTTTCTCAGCTCCATATTGATTGACATCCATTTGAAATGTAGCACGCACACTTATATAGAATAAGCTCACCTTGTTGTACACCAGAGATAATCAGTTGAATCTTTGGTAGTATTTATATGATCAACAAAGCCATTGACAACAAAATCATGATACCCCCATACGCCCACCTTCTCTTGGAATATATCCCACTTTATACCACTGAACCCTTCAGGTAACATAGTTGATATGTGCAAATTGTCAGGTTGCATCTCTATGACAGAAATTTGGGATCCAACCTGTGTACCAATCCATAAAATAATATCTCAGAAACTATAGCAAAGTTTAATACAAACCCTGGAATGGAAAACATTAAGTCTATTGAGACCATGATCAAATATTCTTTTAAAACTATATGTACGTATATAGGTATATATAAATGGAAAATGCTGGGAATGGCCCACTAGATCATATGAATATATGAGCCCAATGGCCCAAATTGAATATGGGCCCATCTGACAGTCACGACCTCATCTCGCGTTTGAATTTAAATTTTTTTTCTACAAATCTAAATCACTTGAAATTTTAGGCAGCCACTCTTTGCATCAAGGCTCACCAAATAAAAAATGTAAAACATTATTCACAAAAAATAAATTGACCAAAATACCCCTGAAACATTTCAGGGGTATTTTGGTCAATTTATTTCTTGCAAATTATTTTTTGATATTTTTATTGTAATCTCCTATTTATGAAATTCAAACACGTAATGAGGTCGTGACCGTCCGATAGGCCTAGATTCAATCTGGGCCGTTGGGCTCATATGTTCATATGAGCTAGTAGGCTAATCTTAGTATTTTTTTATATTGAAAATGCTAAGATTAGCCCACTAGCTCATAACAACATATGAGCCCAACGGCCTAAATTGAATTTAGGCCGATCTGACGGTCACGACCTCATTTCGTATTTGCATTTTAATGTTTGTTTCTACGAATCCAAATAACTTGAATTTTAGGCGTCCATTCTTCTCATAAAGGCACATCTAATAAAAATATTTAAAAAATTATTTGCAAAACATAAATTGATTAAAATACCCTTAAAACTTTTCAGGGGTATTTTGATCAATTTATTTCTTGCGAATTATTTTTTTGACATTTTTAGTAGATTTTTCTACTTTTGAAGAATACACGCCTAAAATTTCAAATGATTTCAATTCGTAGAAAAAAAAATTAAAATTAAAATTAAAATACGAAATGAGGTTGTGACCGTCAGATCAGCTCATATTCAATCTGGACCGTTAGGCTCATATGTTGATATGTGCTAGTGGGCTAACCTCAGCATTTATATATATATATATATATATATGGGGAATGATCACGTATATGCCTCGATTGTTACAAAGATCAATGCTACCACATCAAAACCGTTGTTGGGGAAGAAATCTATATATTGCTTATCCTTTGGACCTTTTTGAAGAAGGTTTTGTTACTAATCATCGTAGGTAATGCATTTGGGTTCAAAGCCCTACAAGCTCTAAGTCTAGAGGATTCGCAAATTCCTCCTGCTTATTCCAAAACCTTTTAGGGCATACCTCATGGCATCCAAGTCAAGAGAGTTTAGATACACTGTCTTGTTGTATATGGGACTTTTGCATTGTCTATCCACACCTCTTCTACCACCCAAAATATGTCAAAACTTATTAGCTATCAATTGTTTTTGACTTTTTTTGGGTAAGTAATTGTTTTTAATTAAATTAAGCATTTTACCATTTTGCGCTTCTCCTTTGTCTCTCATTCCCTCCCTCTTTCTCTCTCTACCACTTTCATCCTCTTCCTCTCTCCCTTTTCTCATAATCCCTTCTCTCGAACACTTTCACCTCTCTCTCTCTCTCTCTCTCTCTCTCTCTCTCTCTCTCTCTCAGATGGGCCTAGGGACAAGGATCTCAAGAAAAAGTGCAGGGGTCAAGCCAGGAAGAATGCCCATCATAAGAAGGATGCCTATTTCTGGCTAAGGATGGAGCTAGGGCCCAAGCAGATGCAATTGCCTAAACACAACTTTCTGGGTTGATGTTTTGGTTAAACTTTAGTCGCTGGTCCATCTCATTTTTTGTTCTGGACCACCGTGGGTACATTGTATTTTGATTTGTTCACTATTTTGTTTATAATCGGGGTCTATAAGACCTAATTTTTTGTATAGGGTCATTGTGTACTGACCTATTTTTTGTCCTAGAGACCCTGTCTGTGGGTGCTCTCGGATCCCACTTTTGTTCCCTGACACTCTTCCAGCAATACAACATTAACTTTACTCAAAAAAAAAGAAGGATGCCCATTTCATGATACATGGATGATGTGGACAAGAAAAAGAATCGTAGGATGGAGAAGTATGCAGGGATTCATGCTAGTTCGAAGTTTTTTTGGGGGGTAAATCAATGGGGATGACGAGCCCCTACCCTTTTTTTTTGTTATTACTGAACACAAGAGAAAGGTTACATCGCAGAGAGGAACATGTACAAGAAATTAAACAGGCCTTTCAAGGGGACATTGGCATTGTCCCCCTTGAAATTAAATAGGCCTGTCATGCAAGTTTGAAGTTGGTGGAATGAGGGAGACAATCCAAGGAAAGAGTTCTATTATCAAAGAGTCTTGTAAAATCCATGTTTCAGTATAACGTCAAAGAGCTTCTAGGGTTTTGATGCGATTGAGGGGTCGTTGAATGCCTAGAAGAGAGAAGATCCTAAAGCAAAAAATGCAAAAAAATTCTTAAAATCAGTTCGATTTGTATATATAACCAAAAAGCAAAGAATGCCCCCCTCCCCCCCCCAAAAAAAAAAGAAAAAGGTAAGACTTACAGATAGATGTGTGTGATCTTCCCAAATCCCAATCATTCATATGACATGACCCTTATTGATCTCTTTATTTCTTTTCCCTATCTTCAATTGTGCTAAAAGTTCCAAATTGGTTCCCATGCTTTTTATCTCATTGAGAAAAAGAGGAGGGAATATGGCTTCCTATCCGTGAAAGCTTGTGATAGTTCTTAATGGAAGCTTGAGATAGAGAGAAACAAAATCTCAAAGAGAGAAGTTGGTGAGTGGAGAGAACAACAAAGATATGCAAGGGAGGAAAAGCAGAGAGAGGAAAGAGGACAAAAAGAAATCGGGTTTTAGAAATGGGGATGAAAAAGGCATTGTTTGAAAGAAGGGGCAAAAGTCATTCTACTACTTCGCAAGAATGTGTATTTAAAATGAACAGGATCATTCCTGTGTATTTCATGCAATGGTTTTATGGCACTACAAAGAAACCATCTTAAAAAATCATTTTACAGCTATTTGCTTGAACCATTCAATTTAGGCAGGGTAGAAAGGGGAATAAAGGGAAGAGATAGACCAGGGGTCGTAGGGGGGGGGGGGGGGGGGGGGGCTATGATTTGTGTGAACCACAAGAATTAAGTCATCCATCTTGGTTAGATGAAGGGCGGGGAGGAGCTGCTTTCGCCAACGTGTAATGAGGCGACTCGAATGTGGCTCCATAGGGAAGGAAGAGAGAGAAGGGGAACATGCAATAATGTTGGGTGTTCATTGACATCTGTTGAGGATGGAGGCTTACAACCTAGGCTGGTAGTATCTAGGTCGTCTAAGCCTATGGTGGTGCCAGGCAGACAATCACATCCGTTGGATGAGAAGCGAGGGGTTGTGACAAGTGTTGGGATGTGAGCTGATCAACTGTTTGGGCTAGGGGCCGCCTGCCATTTTTTTTTCAAAATTTGGTGCAGACCAACCACTGGATTGTGAGGTGATTGAATGGAAGGTGGGGATTGAACCAACCACTAGATTGTAAGGTGATTGAGTGGAAGGTGGGGATTGAACCCTCTAGTCCCTCAGGAACTAGCAAGAATACACAACTTGTGATAAAGAAAGCAGGTCATAGGAGATTTGAATGTTTAATATTCCATGATGAACAACCAAGATGTTGTGCTAGCTCTCATCTCTCTTTTTTTAATTCAAATTTAAATTTCAATATTTGAAATTCATTTCAAATTCGAACTGTGGGAGTGGGAGATTTTTTTTGCTAATGCAAGCTTTGTAGTCCACGTTGTTCTTTCTCATTAGCTCCTTGTTGACTAGGGTATATGATCTCCTTTAAGTCAGTCGGTAGTCCCTTTGTCCACGTTTCGGTGGGCTAAATTTCACAAATTCTTTCTATGGACCACAATGTGACATCCGTACAGCTCATGCTGACAAAGAGAGTACTTGTGCTCCGAAGCCAAAAAATTCTAGTGTTTGTGGTTCTTCCATGGATATGATGACACAAGTGCCTAGAATCAGCAATTCCCAAGCCTGAGAACTCATGACTGATGGAGAAGCCAAAGGAACAACTGCATAAAGGAAGAGTTTGCTTGGGATTCACCCATGGCTGATTGTTTTGAGTAGTATAGGAGCCCAAGGGGAAGGAACAAAACAACTAGCAATTTACCTTGATGAATCCTCAGCATAAGCAATACCATGAAGGATTTATCGTGCCAGGCATGGAGAAGGATCATAATTGTTGGAAATGCCAGGGAACCCGAATCGTTTTAAGAATCGGAATCATGGAATCACCACCGACTAGAAATTTCTTGTCTTAGAAATCGTTGTCCGTACAATAGGAGTCACGGGAACGAGATTCCTAGCTTTTGAGAATCGTGTTTCAACCGAAATAGATCCAAGTTTCATCCACATATGGAATCGAGATTCCGTCCTCCTTGGAATCGAGATTCCCATCCCTTGGAATCGACACTCCAGGAGTCAAGATTCATTAATATGCAGAATCGAGTTTTCGACACTATAGAATCGAACTTCTGACATATGTAGAACTGAGATATGTCGCTGTTTCGAATCAAGATTCTAACATATTTGGAATCATGTTTTTTAAGTACATGGATCAGAGATCCATGCCAGTTTGAGATTGAAATTTACAATAATATGGACTATGGAATTCGTTTGACGACCCCTATCAGGAATCGAGATTTCATTTTTATGGAGAAGGAAGCCCCAAGCACATAATGAGCCTCATCAACTTAGAACCTATATTGGATGTCTCTTATTAGAAGGTTTTCCAAATTTTAAAATGATTGTGTTGACTATTGAACTTACGGTCATTATATACAAAAGATAAGTATTTCTAAATTGTGATTTTCACTTCATTATTATAAAGACAAAATAGGATTATGTTTACACCATGGTTTTACTTTTAATTGTATGTGTTGTATTTACCAGTTATATTTTAAATTAAAAGCCGGCTAAGGTGGCACAAGTAAAATAATGAAA